TTGGCCAGCTGTTCTCTGCGCGCCCAATGCAGAATAAGAGGCGCCAGCCCTAAACTGCTGCAGAGAAGATTCAGGTCAGAGGTTCGAAATGACTTAAGGTTTGTGAGGCCTTAGCACAGGCCGTTCAGCAAAGTTATTCAATACCCTTCAATCAAGCAGCTAGGAATAAACCTCTGTCAGAAATGGTCCAAGGCTTAATCTTGCTTTGGTGGGATGGGTTAAAGCTACGTTTCCTACGTTTAGCTACAAAGGAAGCTAGAAAAAGAAAAGGCTTTTCAGAGGCCAGAGAGCACAAGGGGCAGTTCACAGGCCTTAAGTGCAGCCGGTCCCTTTGCCTCAGAAGCCCGGAAAGTTTTCTACATCCCACTCGTGCAAACAGCTTTCTCAGGACAGGACACGGCTACAGCTCCTGCATAAACCTACTGCCTGAGCCCTTTCCCCCACTGTAGACACAAAGCAGCAGCGTACAAACCTCTGCATCTCAGCCCATCCAGAGGTTCTTTTTTTGCATGCACATTTTGTGAATAGCGCTATTTAAAAATCCACCTAAAGAAGCTGTCAGCTTCAACCTCCTGTAAACCACCGAGGTTGTTTCTGCTTCACATGTAACATTTTATGCAAATAATTTATGATATTTGGATAATTCCAGCAATTTGCATATCATTTCCCACATTAGTTTTGAAGACTCTTGTGCGGGATTGGGTGCTGGTAAGAACTGTTAAGTGAATGGTGGCATGAATGAAGCCTGTGCTCTCTACCAGACAAGCTTCTGTCCCGTCCTGTCCTGTTAGCGCACCTCTGTCCCATCTGTGACATGGGCAGCTTCCCTGGGTGATAGGACAGCTTGTGTCCATCACCTGTATAGTACCATCTCTGCTGAGTTAATACAAAGTATCACAGTGAGTTTGTGGCAGGAGAGCTCAGACTGAGTCCCAGTAAATTCATCCCACCTAACAGACAGCAAGTATCCATCACATGAATGCTTTTAACCCTTAGTGGGCACAGCCTGCTAATGTATAGGAAACACGTACTTTATGCACAGAATCTGTGATAAATGACAAGGGCTGTAAGTCAAGCTCTCAGACTTAGCTTCTGTAAGTGTGCTGCATTTGTGCTCCCGTCCCAGTGCATCATGCTGTGCTCTGTAATTGCATGATCCACCTACGTTCCCCCCCTGGGGTTGCTGCCTTGCCTTTGTCACCGTCCTGTGCTGAGATCTTGCTTTGACAACATGATTATCCATTTCCTCATGGACTCTTTTCTAGTGCCCATTATGTGAGTAAGTGCTTCGGTATTATTAATGAACTTGTCTTCTCAGCCACCTTTTCAGGTGGGGGGGTGAGCTATCCCTGTTTAACAATTGAGAAACAAGAGACAAAGAGGGATTTAGGTTATAAGTATTCATTAATCTGGGGCAAACAGTTTGAACCAGCTAGGATCTAATTTTTCGGTGTTTTTAGCTCTGTGAAGCACTTCGTTTAGCCAAACCCCAGCTCCTGATGCCTGTAACTGCAGCTGTAAATGCTTAGCACTTCTGCAAATGAGACCCAGCAAATGAGCCCCCCCCCCGCTGCTCCTGTGAAAGCTTTTGTTCATGCAGGGGCATGACACAGAGGCAGACACAGATCCAGCTCTCTGGGGAGGGGCGAAGTGTCCTACCCAGGCGATGGTCCTTTCTTATTCCTGCAGTCTTTGCCCAATGAGGTGTTTCCCAACCTTAGTAACCAAGGAGGCAGCTTAGCTGACCAGCTTATCATCTCCTTGGGTGGGGGTACCAGCTGCGTGCTGAAGAGGTGGTAATCAAGATACATGCACAACGCAGCTGACACTAGATTGTCCAGTCAAACCCATATGCCAATTTCTAACTCTTTGGAACTTGTCTTTGCAACTTTTATGATTCTTTTAATGTCATTAGCATGTTTTTTATGTCATTAGCTGTGTTTTAAACAGAACAAACTATAGAAAGTCCAAACCTACGTGCGTTCAGACCAGGACCTGGAGCTCCAAGGCCCGGGGGTGCAGTCGCAGCTGACCCCACTGGGGGGGGTGCTTCCCTGCGGGCACAGCAAATGGGACTGCCTGACCAGAGCGTCCCAGCTAAAGGGGCTTCTCAGTGGCAGGCAGGAGGTTTTCAGGATCTGACCTCCAACAGATATGAGAATTTCAGTCTCAAGGCATAGATATAGTTAGAGCTCAGCCCAGGCTATCGAAGGACCACAGTCTCCTTCTCCTGTCCTGAGTTTGAAATATTCAGTTGCATGGGCAATTAGTTGAGCAACATCTAATCTCTTCCAGGCAAGGAGTTAGGAGCTCATGAGCAAGCACTCCAATGTACTCTTACAGGCCGTAAGAAGAGGCCTTGGTCAGCAGATCCCCAAATCTGGTAAAGTACTGAGAAGTCAAGGCCAGACTTTCCCCATTGGTGTCACAGGCCCTGTCCAGCTCTTGGGATCTGGCCAGAAGCTACCAGAGCATCCAGCCACACTGGGTACCTGCTGCTATTAGGCGCTGAAAAGGCTTCGCCACCAGACGCCCCCCGCCCCCCCCAGCAAAACAGGGTGCCTTTGCTTCCGCTGCCTGGGCCTGAGCCCACCGGCTGAACTATCCAAGCGCATGGACAGGGGGTGTGGAGGGGTGCAGATGTTGTCTGACGGTTTGACTCATTTTAGTGGCAGTCTCGTTCAGTGATGATGGGGAAGGCCCAAAGAGGAAGGGCAGTGACCCGTTTAACCAGAATGGCTGATCCACCCAGGGGTAGATTTAGCGGCACTGGTAAGGGGGCCGTAGCCCAGCTTCCTTCGCGCTGCCTGGTGCGTGCATTTCCAGGCTACGCAAAGGCAGAACACATGCTTGTCTGTCCAGCCCTGCCGCTGTGGCAGCAGGATCTCACCTTGGGCTTGTGCTTTAGGGATATCGCGTCAATCAAAGAGCAAAAATGTTACTCGCAGGGGATGACCACAGCCTGAACAGGAGTGTCTGATATTCACTGGGCATTGGTTGCAGTCATGCCCCGTAGCATAGGAGCAGAGACATGAACGCATTGCTTGACTCTTAAATTAATATTGACTTGACTGCTCCATGACCCATCCAGAGGGAAAGGTTCCTGCAGTACCACCCATAAGATGTAACTAACCTTCCCAAGGACTGGGTACAGCTTATTCAGGGCATGTTCTTGCAGCTAGACTCCAAGACACCCTTATCAGCAGATGACGACTGTGAACAGCACTAATGTTAGCACCATACTCCCACCCCAAGGGGACCTACATTGCTTTTGGCTCGGGGGAGGGGAGGTGTGCACTTGTTCTCCCTTTCCCCCCATGTCATGGGAACAAGAGCTTCCTGAATCCCTAGGCTCACACAGGATGAGTGGAGGAGGTGTTCAGCACAAGCGGCTGCGCTTGTGGGTGCACATGCCCTGGGTTTGGGCTGGGGCGTGCGTGGTGCTCGTACAAGAGGTGTTGGCGTACGCTGTGTAAAGGAGGCAAGGGGGAGGAAAGACAACACGGAGCAAAAGCAGGTGTGAAAGCGAGGGTGGGGGAAACGTGCAGGAAGAGCGCTTGGAGCCAGCAGAAGCAGTGCTCGTCGGCAACACCGTATGGGCGGGTTTATCACAACATACACAAACGCAGATGTATTCCAGCTGCCAGAGTGCTTCGTTTGCAAACGCTGGCGCTCCCGTAGCCCTGTGTGGTACCTGGCGCAATCCCCTTGGCTGGTGCAAACAGCTGTGAAGTGCTGGCCGCTCTCAGGCAAGGGAGCCCATGGCAGACCGCACTGCCAAAGGCGGGAGCGGCGGCACAGCAAGCAGCGCTGGAGGAGCAATGGGCCTGGGCAGGTCGTGGCTGGCAGGAGGGCAGACACAACTCAGGAGAGACGGCAAGCCGCTCTCACCAGCTGAGAGCTGAGCGCCCGCTTGGTCGCCAAAGCCAGCTCAGGGTTCTTCCTTCCACCTCCTTCCATCCTCTGCCTTCCCCTTCAAGGGGAAAACGAAGCCTGAGGCTCACGGTCCACAGTGTGGACATGACGGATGACCTGGTTAGTGCTACTTCAAGTGACTTGCACACTCTTAGGGATTTCCGAGGGGCTCAGGAGCAGCCGAGGAAGGGAGAGAGGGCAGGTTTAGATGGTTATGGAGCCCCTGTGCCTTCCGTTCTCCCATTTCAGTGTCCCCTCTCAAGAGAGAGAGAGAGATGCTTCTTAGCTGGCACCTCACGCCCGGCTGCTTTTGTGGTGGTTTTTCCAGGGGCTGCCAGAGTCCGTGCCCGGACACAGGCTGACCTGCCCGCCCCTGGCAGCAGCTCATCTGTGACAGCCACCATCTTAGTGCTTCAGAGACAGGAGGAGGGAGAAATGCTGCATCCTCAGCCCTGTCACGAGCAATGCTGCCAGGCTCTGGCTTGGAGAACAGGTCTCTGCACTGTCGGTAACTACTGCTGACTCCTGCTTCAAAGAAGGGGCTGAAAACAGACTGAAATTCCTGCCTGTCCTTCTTTACCTGTACCCAATGTAGAGCACTGAGAATTTTCCTTCTTTTTTTTTGTTTTTTTGTTTGTTTGTTTGTTTTAAGCCAGACTTTCTGACCTGTGTTTTGGGTATCCTTGTTTTTCATGTAACCACCCAATCCTCTGTGAGCCTTCGCAATTGTTGGCCCATGGGGCATCTTGTCCACCTGCACGCACCAGTTTGCTTGTTCTGTGAGAAGTGTGTCAATTTACCAGTTTGAAATGAGTTGTCTTTCCATTTCTTTGAACATCTTGTGAGGGGGTGAGCAGAGGAACAGAGCTATCTCTAAGCCAGGCATTGCTCTGCA